AGCAGGAAAGCTGACATTTCGGGCCTAGACCCTTCTTCAGAAATCTGAAGAAGAGTCTAGGCCCGAAATGTCAGCTTTCCTGATCCTCTGATGCTGCTTGGCCTGCTGTGTTCATCCAGCTCTACACCTTGTTATCTCAGATTCTCCAGCATCTGCAGTTCCTACTATCTCTGGTATGAAAATTGCTCTGGCTTTTGTGACAGCTGCTCAAAATTGGTAACAAAAACAGAAAGTGCTGGAGGAATCCAGTAGGTCTGGCAACGTGTGTAGAGAGAAAGCAATGTTAACATTTCGGAAAGTTCTAAAGAAGAATAACGGAAACTGAAATGTTAACTCTAATTTCTCTCCATGGATGCTGCCAGACCTGCTTGGCTTCCCCAGTAATTTCTGTTTTTGCTTCACATTTCTAATGTCTGCAGTTTTTGGTTTTATTTTAGCTAAAAATTGGTATTTGCCATTCCTTACATATTGAGCCGCACCCAAACCTTTGATTGGCAACATCATGTCACCAACATGGGTGGCATGTGGCTCAGTGGTCAACAATACTGCCTCACAACGCCAGGGACCCGGGTTCGATTCCACCCTCGGGCAGCTGTCTGTATGGAGTTTGCACGTTCTCCCTGTGTCCGCATGGGTTTCCACGGGGCATTCCAGTTTCCTCCCACAGTCCAAATACATGCAGGTTAGGTAGATTGGCCATGCTAAATTGGCATAGTGCCCAGGAATATGTAAGTTAGGTGGATTAGCCATGGAAATGCAGGGTTATAGGGTAGGGGAATGGGTCTGGGTGGGATGTTCTTCTGAGGGTCAGTGTGGATTTGTTGGGCCAAATGGCCTGTTTCTGCATTATGGGGTTTCTATGATCATGGCTGGCATTTGTTACTGATTATGCTGGGACCTGTGGCATTTGTGAACATGGTAAATAACAGTGGGCAGACCCAAACAATGAAACTGATGAATCCTCAGTGAGACACGCAGGACTGAATTTTCCTGATCACATCGAGGTTAGAGGGTTGGGCGTGTTGGGTTTCCTCTTCTGAGGAATTTTGCAGTGGTAGGCTGGAAATAAATTCAGCATCCTTACCGTGAAAGCAGTCAATTATATTCAGACTTAGGAAAAGTTTTCTGAAGAGAAAGGCAGTACCCCATTGTTGACATGGCTTCCTGCACACTGTGAAACCCATCAATTTTTTGGAAGAGTCCTCTCAGCAGGAGGTCAGTGGGTTGGCTTGGCCAGTGATGCCCACATCCCATGAACGAATGATTGTTTTGTTTTTGAAAAGCAGGCAACAAGACTGACAGGTGTCAGCAGACATTATACTAAATGGATTATCCTGTCACCCTTGTGCCTCTCACAATACTGGGCCTTCTTTTATTTAAATTCTTCATGTTCCCCTCAATTTTGGTGCACCCACTAGATCTCCCTCTTCTCCAGTAATACTCAACTCTCCTCAGTGGGGAGGCCAGTTGGAAATTGCCACAAATAATTCCATTAGCCTCCAACTTCTCTGGTCAGCCTGCCATCCTTAATTGGAATGGGTCAAAAGGAATTGGCTGCCACTGGGAAGACCATGTCTAACATTCTTCCAGGTTCGTGACCCAATATTTAAGCTATTGCTAATTCATAACATTCCTTCATTTGCCACTAAAAGCTGTGCTCCCAATATAGCACTTCTTCAGTCTGTTGTTTTCAGTTTATTGTGGTCTATGAGAAATGTTTATGAATGCTTCCAGTCTCAGGCAGTATATCAGAGCAAGGGAGTCCTGACCCAAAGTTGAGGACAACATTGCGATTGCACCCCAACAGCAGAATTCAGAATTCACAGACTCTAAACAAGGAACTGCATGTTAGTATATTAACCTCGTGTGATATCACATACAAAAACTTTAAAGACAAACAAGGGAAGATAAAACTGACAAAATAAAATGTAGAAATAAATCATTCTAACTTTTTATTATTTAAAATTGTCTAACAAACCTACAACCTGAAAGAATGAGATGAAAGTAAATTTCAGTGTAAAAGAGCTTGTTTGGCAATAACAAACACCTCTTATGCTTTTAGAAATTTATCTAGACCTGAATGGAAAGCCTTATCTTTTTCAGAGGGAATGGTTATCCGCCATGTATTGGTAAGTACATTAAATTTATGCCATTACTTCTATTTCAATGCCAAGGGTGTTAGTGATTGGTGGAACTTGAAAAGAGGTCAATCAGACAAAATTCCAGATTTCTGCATATATAGATAACAGAAAGTTGTTCTCTGACTTAATTATCATTTCCATAATAATGAATATAAACCTACTTCAGTGGCAAAATAAATAATGTATATGATGTGATTATAACGTATCTCTGGAAGTGAGTTGCTATGTAATGATTCAATAAAAGACTCTAATGAGATCAATAATTGATGAAAAGTTAATAAGTGTTTTATAATTGCATTCTGTTGGAAATAGCTCTTGATAAAAGAAAACTGTCTCATTGATGCAGATATATTCTTTAATATTTCTTGGATGTCAGCAACATGTCTTTAAATATTGCGCAATACCTCAAATGAAACACAGCAAACCATAGTGATATAGTACTGATTGCAAGTTTAGCCAAAAAGATGGAAATGGAGAAAGACATAAGAAATTTATAAATATAATTTCAAGGGGAGAAAGAAGTTTTGGCAGAATACACAGGCCAGCATTTGGATGACAGAAGCATGCATAAAAGGGTCGATGTTATCAAAGGTATTGGGGTGGGGCTGCGTAGGTATTTCCAAGCAATGACAACGAGCTCAAATATAATACATGAGAAGAGGTCAGTGGAAACAAAAGGGTGGTGAACGAGGTTACCTAAAACAGGATGTTGGGTAAATTAAGAATCTGCGTTTTTGCAATGAAGGACGGGGCCCACAATTTAACAAAAATGGTGGCAAGAAGAGCTACCCCAAAACAGAGCATCTGTCATTTTCATTAGGGGGAGGGTATTGAATGGCTCACAGAGGCAACTCCACAATTTGAAGCTCAGATGCTTCAGTCAAATCCCATTTTCATTGGTGAGATATGATTCGTGCCATTTAGCCTATCAGGAGAAGGACTGAAGTCACTAAAGTTCTTTGGAGAAATAAGGTACCCTTCTAGAAATGGTCATGAACACATCAGGGAGAGGTCAGATGCACTTTGAGAGCAGTAAAGCATTCTTAGGCATTGTTAAAAGTAGATATGAGTGTGTAAATGGTGGATACATTTTTTGGAACTTGTAAGGGAACTATCAAGGGACATGTGAAAGGAACTACCAAGAGGACTGTTAAGGGAATTCTCATGCTCTGACGATTGTGCAACATGGGACAGTCCCTGTGACTGCCTCTGAACATTCTCCAGGGGTGATTGGTGCAACTCCCATTAAATCCTGAGATTCCCCAAACAAATATCACACTAGATTTGGAACACTGAGAACTTGAATTTGTGCTATTGTCCTAGGAATGAAAAAGGAGGCCAGAATTTAGAGCTGAATAGAAATCAGTAGGTAGAATATAAAATTAAGTCATGGATTACATGGATTGGAGTTTTAAAGGCAAGCAGCCAGCAAGGGTGATGCCGTTCATGAAAAGGGATTAAAGTTACAAGCTTAAAATGAAGATGGCGCTATCCCACACTTGACATGCAATTGCAATATTTTCTGCATAACTTCAATTTTTAAGCACTGCATTAGAAGATAAGTTGGTGTTGCACGTGCATTGCATTTAAAAACGTATGATTGCTTAAAGGTAAATTTAAAATGTACAAGCTTAAATTCAATCTTGGCCCAAACCATACAAACGTATCCAAATCATCCATGTAGCTTGAAATGTTTCTGTAAAGGAAGGTACAAAAATGCTTCGCACAAGTTTCTTTTGAGTGTTACCCCTGCTATTTAGCCATAAGGGGCTAAAATTACACAGAAGATCTTATAACTAACAACAAGATGAATAACCATTTAAGTTGTTTATGTAGTAAATGCTGGAGTTGAATGGTATCGATGAGATTATGAGAACTCCTCACCCTCCGATATGTTGTGCCCTGGAATCCTTAGTACCCACATGAACAGGCAGTCAGAGACTCAATTTAAAATCTCATCATATTCAATGAAGTATTGCACTGGAGTGGCAGTTTTGATTAAGTGTTCAGTAGGATGGAGTGGACTCATAACATTCTAATTCAGAGACAAATATGCCAACAATTAAGGCAAGGTGATGTTAAATGCAATATTAAATACAACGTTTACTTGGAAAATCGCATTAAACATATGTACCATGCAAATGAGAAATATTTTCCAGATTTTCTACTCATTATCTGTGAATTCGCAAGGCTGCTAGCTATAAGGCCCAGCTACAGTGGAGAAATGCAATTGACTTTAAAGCTTCTGGATTTTCTGACTGGAATGTTCTTTTTACAGGGATGTATAATTTTAATAAAAAGCAAGGTCATAGTTTCTTTTATACATTAAAAATACCCAAAAAGTTAAATATGCAATTTTTCATGAACTTGCTGGTATTACGATAATAGTTACAAACATAATAAGTTCTAATTAATTTGGTCACAGTACAAATTTGTGTATTATTAAGTGATCAATTCTTAAAAATTAACATTTTTCTTCATAAGCCAATAGTTTTGCCTTCTCTTTGAGCAACACACTGGTATTCATGCTTTAAGAATACTGATTAACAAGGAGCAACTCAGCAATAGTCATATCAAAGTGTACAAGCTGTTAATATTGCTCATTTTATGTTGGCACTTACCGATTTAAAGCAGAGCTGAGTTCCTCTAATTTTCTGAAGTCACTCACATTTTCCAGTTTTGCCAGTGGCTCCATCCGCTTCACTATTACTTCCAGCATATCTGTCATTTTCCTCAGCACACGTGACTCCAAACCAATTCCTTTCAATGCAAGAAAAATAATTTTATCAGTACAGTGAAGCAACAATGCAGTGATAACAAAGAACGTGGTACATATAAGCTTTGACTAGGCCATGATGAAAAATGGATTTTAGGAAACTTGAGAAAAATATACACATGATCAGAAAAGTACTTAAAAAAGGGTTGATTTGCTTGCATTTTGAAACTGGTTCCGTTGGCATGTTAATAGGATAATCGGAGGGGTAGACTTAAAATAATTGGCAAAAAAAGGTCAGGGGGAGCTAAGGAGAGCCTTTTTTTTAAACTTAGCAAGTGTTCTGATTTGGAAGGCACTGTCTCAAAGAATGGTGAAAGTAGATTCAAGAGTAACTTTCTGTAAGAAATCAGATCTGTACTTAAAGGTAAAAAAATTGGAGGGATATTGGGCAAAAACAAGGTATTATGATTAATGGATAACTCTTTCAAAGAACCAACATAGAGATAATGGGTCAAATGGTCTCCATTTTTGCTTGATTCCATATATTGAATCTTACTGCCCAAAATAAACATTGAGTTGGAGTCACATCCAAAATTAAAATGTAAAAAAATCTCAAACCTCACATCAACACTCCTCCAATTCACATGCAAGTATAACTGAGGTCTGAAAAGGGATCATCAGCCACCCTGCTCCCCAGACACAGACTGGCTATTGGATCAAATTAAAGAAACTGACATTGCTGAGTTAAACCTTTTTTTTTACAAATTTAATTGTGGCCTGCTGAATTTCCCAAGTTTTAGGAAATGAGGTACATGAATGAAGGCAAGCAAAGACAGTTTGGGTCAAAAGATAAATACTATTACAGCACTTACTTATGGTCAAGAGTAATAGGAATAATTCTCCCAGCTTCTCAAATTCATTCTTATCAAAATCACCCCTCCCTTCATGGGATGGATTCTCCCACCAGGGTTGGTGATTGGTCAGAATTGACACCCTTCTGAATTGGGTGTTATTTTGCAGCCAGGGATTATCCTCTCCCAGATAAAATGTTAATGGCCAAGACCAGGTCCTGGACGACCAGGTCCTGGACAACCAGGACTGTTTGGAATGAACATCAACATTGAAATTAGGATTTTCTCCTCCAACTCCCCTCACTATCCACTCCTACCTGCGTATATCAGCCTACCCTCTTATATACCCCAGGGGACAGCCTGTGGTCATGGATTGGATTTAAGTGAACTAACAACTGTAAAGTTCTCTGCAACTGGTTGGAAGAGAATCTCCAGACACAGAACCTGTCAAGGATAGTTCATTACTGCCCCCAATTCTCATTCACATCTATGTTCTTGTTAATACTGAAGTCTAAAAAGAAACTAAACTTCAAAAATATTGTACAGGTAGTTCTCCTTTAATGTGATAGTTGCATTCTTGTGTGACCTCATGCTACAGAAAATCATACTATAGAAAATCACTTTATAGGGAAATTGCTATAGAAAATCAGTATATTTGTACAGCAGAAAGTTCATATTGTCTAAACAGCGTGCACAATTCATTAATTGCATTACAGCCATTCAGGTTAACGAAACACGCGTTATAGCAGAACTACCTGTATTCAACTTCTGATGTTGATTTTTTATTTCTCTTAAGTATATGAACAAATATGGTTCAGACCGGAATATTTCAACAATTAGTTTCAGTCCATAATGTTCAGTCCTTCACCAACAAAATTTGAAGATCAAAACCTGATAAAACTGAAAATCTTTGATTCAAAAGATTATGTTTCTTTATTGATATTCACTCTGAAAAGCGACACATAGATTCAGAAATAAAACTGAAAATCACAATAGTTTGGACTTTATTATACCTGGCTTCGTATGCTTCAATTGCAAACAAGTGAAAACAACCTTCTGCTATTGAACAATTTTAAATGACTTGCCAGCAGCTAAACAGGCATCACATCTCATCTTTGCGGTGCAAGTGTTGCTAGTGTATATTTCTATTGTACAACATATTTTCAGCTAATGTTGGCCTATGCTTGTAAGATTTAATAGAATACAGTACAGCAGATTGAGAGTAGATCAGTTTAGACTTTATATATGTCAGACTTAAATCAAATGGCATGATGGAAAAACCTGCTGAGTTCAGATCTCTGCTGTAAATGATTTATGATAAATAAATCTAAACTTCAAACCAGCTATAGTCTGTCAGTTGGTAGCACATATGCCTCTGGCTACTCTGGCTAAATTAATATAAAGGTTGATCAATACACTAGATTAAAACATTTTTTCTTTTTAATCCCATGTCAATAATTTGCACCATACTTCACCGTACCTATTGATTCACACAAAACATCCCAGGAATGAAGAAGTATGGCCAGTGTCCATAAGAAAGAATTAGAGAAAAGTAAAGGTAAAATGCACATATCTGGACAAATGTGATGAATGTTTAGAATAATCTCACAACTGAGTTAATAGAAAAATCAGTAGCGTTATTCGAAATAAATTACATATCACAATGAGTTAATGTGGTAGAGGGGTGAGCTTCAATAGCTTCCATGACCTTTTTTCCTCTTTGTTGCTCCGTATATGATCATAAATACAAACCCTTTAATGGAGGTCCTGTTAAAGAGAATCACTAAGTAATATTTATTCAGTTATTGAGATGTTACCTCAGGCTTATATTACGTACATTTAGTAGAAAAAACATAGATAAAACAAAGACCTTGCTCACCACAGGAAGGATTGTATTAAGAGAATTCTACAGCATAAAATTAAATACAATCAAGTTACAGCATCAACTAAACTAATTTGACTCATGCAATGACAAAATAACAAAGTTACATAATATCTATCTGATTAACAGAAATGACTGCTGACTTATGTAGAAATTACAAAGGATTTTGAGGTTGTTGGCTTGCTCGCCGAGCTGACTGGTTCAAAGGTTTCATCACCATACTAGGTAACATCATCAGTGCAGCCTCCGATGAAGCAATGTAGTTCTACTCCACTTATATTTATATGATCCAGTCTGTTGAGGAGTTTTGTGTCATTTCCAGTTCTTTTTTGCAAGTGTTTATATATGGGGTCTAATTCATTACAGGTAGAGAGCCAGGCCTCTCGGAATTCCCGTGCATATCTATGGTTGGCTTGAGCTAGGATAGTCACATCGTCCCAGTTAAATTGATGACCTATTGTTGTCCAAGTGTACTGAAATGTGGGAAAGTTCATTGCGTCGTTTTGCTGCTTTCTGGTGTTCGTGTATCCTGATGGCTAGTTTCCTTCCTGTCTGGCTGATGTAATGTTTTTGGCAGTCCTTGCACAGTATTTTGTACCCTACGTGGTCCTGCGTGTCGTGGGTATGGGGTCTTTGGTCTTTGCGAGCGTTTGTCATAGTGTGGCTGTGGGTTTGTGGGCCACCATGATTCCTAGTGGTCGTAGGAGTCTTGTTGTCAGCTCTGATATGTTCTTAACATACAGTAGTGGGACCTATGTATTAGGTCATATTGTGTCGCCCTGGTGTTGTCTATCTAGTAGGCATCTGCAGTTGAAGTTGGTGGGGTGTCCATTGATAGCGAGGACCTTGTGTAGGTGCTCTTCCTCCTTAATGCAAAGTTCAGGTGTGTTGCAGTGGTTTATGGCCCGTTTAAATAGTGTCCTTACACAGCTTTGTTTGTGGATGTTGGGGTGATTGCTGTGGAAATTGAGGATTAGGCCAGTGTGGATTGCCTTGATGTGTACTGTGGCTTGAAATTCCCCGTTTGTCATTGTCATTGTCTCCATGAATGCCTCATTCACCAGGTTCTGTCCCGCAGCGTGAAATACAAACCTCCACTCAACAACCTACAGGCATACAAAACAGCTGAACAAAATGGCCGCAGAATGCTTCAGGTCATGATTAACGATGCCCATAACCAGCACCATGAGTATGAGTGGAAATTTCGCGCCAAAAATCATTATACCAAAACGCTGCCATCCAGCAATTGTCTACAACCTTAAAACAGGCCATCGCCACCAAATAACACAGGACCAGAGCTAAAAAGAGAGACAAATTACAGGAGAAGCTGACCAAACTGATCTGCCACAAAGTCAAGAACAACAACAAACTAGACTCATGGGTAAGAAACCTATCCAACAGATGACTTACAAAAACCGAGTAGCTGTCCTAACAAACAAACAAATGTTATATCTGAAATCTGTTCTTATTATCAACAAAGTTAATAGTTACCTTGAATAGAAGCTGGAATCATACCTCTGGGACAATTAGAATTCAGAGAATGCAATGCTAATATCTCTCAGCTTCACTAAAGTGATAATTAACTAATGAGGGTGTAGTTGTGCATTCTTTTAAACACGACGGTGTTTGGGCAGATAACTAGGTTGCTCATATCTATTTTAGATACAGTTGGCATCGAGATATCCATGTTAGATTTTGTACTTCAGACATAGAAATTTTTCTCTTATGTGTGGATTTCCCATTAAGTTCTTTAGAAGAGTATTAGAAACAAATGTCCATAACGTTCAAAAACAATCTTGTGAGGCAGGTGAATTTATCATGGTAAAAAAAAGTGAGAGTCTCAGGGGTTTGCAAAGGGAAGATGCTGAAGAAGGCAGGATATTGTTTTACTTCCTGTTGAGAGAGCATTTGCCCTCTACTCAGCACTTCAGTTTGTCAGCCTGTCTGTAATTAAGAGCCTGAAGTGCAGGAGGTTAGCAGCACACTTAGTAGCCCAGTGCAGTCGTATTGTCAGGCTGTGCTAATGCTAGCATCATGGAACTATAATTAAGTTAGGGCAGTAGAACAATTAACCAAAGACTGACTTTTAAGGGAAAGTGTATTGCTTACCTCTCCCCATTAGAAAAGTCAGTCAGAAATGGAAAAGGCTGCTCTGTAGTGATATTATGTTGCAGGTGTCTTTAACAATGGAGTGGAGCTTCTGCCCCTCAGATCACTCCTCAAGAGATGCCACCCCATCAGTATTAGATGCTGCTGAGAGGCTGCAAGCAGTTCCATAAAGAAGGTCATGGCAACTGGACCTGGATTTTGG